CCCTGAATTAATTCCAGACCTTCTATGCGCCCTCCGGACGCTGCTGGCATTTCTCGCGAGAGTGTGGAGCTCTAGCCAACACTGCCCAGGTGACTGTTCGAAACCCATGCTCCTTTTATTTGAATGGTGACTTGCCTCCTCATGTTCCAAACGAGCATACTGGCAAAACACTGGCTGAAGATTGTACTGAATTCTTTGCAGCGCATGGACCGAGAGAAACCTACATCAACACAATCATATACTGAGAGCCGGACATGTGACTTTTGTATTTTCTTCATTTTCACCCCTTTCCTTTTCATGTCGATTGTACTCCATGCAACGCATTTAGCAATTACATATGAAAGGGACACAGCATTTGAATCATTTCTGGTTATAGACCTTTTTGCCATTTTATCTGTGGATGCCCTTTTCCCATTAAGAGTGGGCGGGTACTTAGAGATAAACCTGCGGCTACGAGTTCGAGGAAAAGGCTTCGCTTACCTTTGTATTACTTTCTCTTCGAGGACTTCGAGTGCCTTGTTTTCTTGGTTGGCTCCCTACCAATCAACAACCTGAAATACCCCAAAATAAAATATTTTAATTTTTAATCCCCCTTATTATTATTATTTCCGTTGCCTTTATACTATTATTACTACTATTGTTACTACTAATTTTAAATATATAATTACGATTACGGAATTCCTTCTTAGGACAAATTATTATTAACTAGATTTTTTAGGCAAGAATTATAGATCTTTTTTTTTAAATATATATTTTAATATTTACCTATATTTTCGTATAATTTTCGCGAATATATTCTTATTTATAGACCCCGACCATCAACAAAGGGTATATTGGAGGAAAAACAAATACCAGGAATTTTAATACTTGATTTTCACAAAACCTCATTTTTGGAAATTTAGTTATTCCCTACCTGTCAGGAAAAGGTTATTAGATTTTATCAGTGTTAATTACCTCCTTTTCCTCGACTAATTTTCCTCCTCCTCCTCCAATTTTTCCTCGACTATGTCTGGATCAATTTCCACCTATATTTCCGTCTTGCTAACTCTTTTCGCCAATCTCTTTGCTAACTTCCCAGCTCAATATCCACCGCTGGACCTTACCTAGGATCTGCCCAACTCAATATATACCGCTGGACCTCAACGTGGGATCTGCTCAGCTCAGTATACACCGCTGGACCTCAACCTGGGACCTGCCCAGCTCAGTATACACGAGTAGACCTCAACGACCAGATAAAATGCCAGAAAATATATTAAATAAAGTGTTATAATACATACTAAATAAACATACCAAATAGAATATTAAATAGAATACCAAAAAATATCAAATAAAATACCAGAAAATTTACCAAATAAATAACCAAAAAATAGGTTAAAAAATATATTAAATAAAATATTAAATAAAATACCAAATAATATTTCAAAAAATATATCAAATAAAATA